AGAAGAAAAATTTCAGTACACCAGAAGTAGGAAAAAAAAAAACAACAACCTTGTTCTTAATGATAAAAGAATGTTTTCCTGCTAAGATTATGAAGAAGGTAAAGGCATCTGCTTACTGGTAGCTAATCCAACAGAGAAAGAAAATAAAAGGCATCGAGAATGAAAGAAAGTAAAATTATCTGTATTTGTAGATGGCATAATCCTCAAAGCAGAAAATTTGATGGGATCTATAAAAAGAGACTGCACAAAGTGAGCTTTACTACCAGTGTAAAGAAACAACTGACAGTATTTGTTGCCAAGAATAAAGTTCAAGCTTTCAAATGTAAATGAGAATTTTGAAAAACTATAGCATTACCATGAATGTTGCCTTCCCATTACTTAAAGACCTGCAAGAAAACCAGAGATGATACTACCAAAAGCAACTTCTTGATATTATGTAATTAAAATATATCAACATTTAGCAAGTCTGAAAAGCTCAACAAACAAGCATTTTACAGATTAAAAGTTCTTTGATATGGTTTAACTAACCTGAAAGGAACTAGGTCCTGTGGAATTTTTGTATGACATCAAAAAATACTACAGTACTTCTTTTTCTACTATGTATACTTAAGGCAGAATTTTCTTTCCACACTTCAGCTAAACAGTATTTCACAGTAAGCAAATGCCGAATTCAGTTGTTTGCTACCAATCGTTAGTGAGATGCAAAAATGAAAATTGACATTGTTATGATTTATGTCTGGATGTCCCCCTCAAGCCTCACGTGTGATATGGGTGTGGACTTCTCAGGGGCAGCTACTTCTAGTTTGTGACTGGTTCACTGTCTAATGCTAGGATTGTGGGTGCTACATCTGCCCTAGCTCTGCATACAATGAGGGACAGAACACACACTGTCTTCTCTCCATCTCTTCCCTTGGTTGCTGTTTTTTGGGAGTTTTTTTGGGCAGTACCTGAGATCAAACGTGGGACTTTGTCCATGCCAGTCGGGCACTTATGCCACTGGGCTGTCTCCCCGGCCCTTCTTGATTGCTTTTGCTGTCTTCCACAGCCCCAGCTGCCATGTTGTACCTCTGCTCTGCGATGTGCCACTCTGCCTTGGTGCCAGCTGATTATGCAGGGGAACAAATAAACTGAACCAAATAAAACTTTGCTCCCTTAAGCTTGGGTATTGGTTATTTTGTCTCAGCAATGAAATAACTAAGACAAACATCACCCTTTTTTGTTTGGAAAAGTTATTTTTCTTTTTAAAAAATAATAGTCATACTAACATGTAATGGCTCTATTACTTTGTAGAGTTTATAATTTCTTTTTTTTTCTTTTCGGAAGCGTGGATTGAACTCAGGCCCTTGCGCTTGCCAGGGAAGCACTTATTCCACTGAGCCATCTCCCCGGCCCAACAGTTTAATTTCTGCTATGGTAAATATCAACAGATATATACCATGTAAACAAAAGTTTTTTGGATTACTCAATTTTTGAAGTGTAAAAGGATCCTGAGATTTAAGAAATCTGACAATCATTGTGTTCAATGTAAGAACATTCTTTAGTAGGCAGAAAGAGATGAGACCCACTATGGAAGTAGGACTGACACTGAGTAGGAGCAAACATAGTGCATCCATCTAAGAGACAGGAAGTTAAGAGTATATGGGTACAGACACATGTAGGTAGATAAAGTGGCAGGAATCTGAGACATCACCAGACTTACTCCAAAAACTGCAAAGAGAACAACGGTTGACACACACTTTAAAGATAAAACAAAGAGAAGTTTCCAGATCACAACAAATCACTCACTTTAGAAAATATTAAAAATGACCAATCTTGGGCCGGCCAGATAGCTCAGTGCACTAAAGCACCTGCTTAGGCAGAGTGCAGTGGCCAGGGTTCAATCCCCAACCTGCCATGCCAGTCCCGCCCCTGGGGTGCGCTGAGACAGCAATTGAAACTGGGGGTGGTGGCGTGTGCCTGTAATCCCAGTGCTTGGGAGGCTGAAAACAGGAGACTCACTAAGAGTCCAATCTACGTAGTGAGACCCTGTACTAAATACATTAAAAAAAAAAAAAAAATCAATCTCCAAACACAAAGAGTGTGTCCTATCCAGACTAAGTCAGTTGTTTGTCAAGAATAGTGGCAGCAAAACCATGGTACTTGTGCCACAGTGGGCTGCTTGAACATCATTAAAACTAAAAGGTTTGTCATCACTACCCTAGAACTTTTAAAAACATTCTGAAAAGGAAACAAAAAGAAGAAATGAAAAAAAAAGTTACTCACCTTGTGTTTACAGCAGAGAATGAGCGTAGACTGGTTTAAGAATGGTAATGAAGGTTAGAGTCAGGAGGAATGAGAGAAAAAAATGTAGAAAATAAGCTTACCTGTCTACTCCATCCCAGCGATATCCAGGCCAAATGTTGAATCTATTTGGAGGAGGTGCTAGGCCACTATATCGAGGTCTCACTAATAAGAGGAATGGAAACAAAAAGTTATTTACATAATTTAATTCAGAGATGGATGGTGATGGGAGAAAAGTTTCGATATCTTAGCCCAGAAAGAAAAGTCACCATCAAGAAAATAACAGATGATGCAGGCATTGCTGTAGGGGAAAAGGGAACCTGTTTACATTGTTGGTAAGAATGTAAACTAGTGTAACCACTACACTACAGAAATCAGTATGGAGATTCCTCTAAAACTGAAACTAGAAATCCATCTGCCCTAACTAATCCCCTTCTGGGCCGCTTTCTAACAAGCTAAAGACACCCTATCACAGTGATACACGCACGCCCATGTGCACAACAGCACTGTATGTCCATCAAGAGATAAATGGCTGAAGAAAATGTGCTGCAAGCAGGCACATGGGCCGGGGATTCGATCCCCAGCTCTTGCCTTGCCAGCCTCGCCTCAGGGGTGCGCTGAGACCGCAATTGAGACTGGGCATGGTGGTGCGCGCCTGTAACCCCAGCTCTTGGGAGGCTGTAAACAGGCAGATCACTACAAGTCCGATCTAGTGAGACCCTTTACACCCTGTAGACCCTTCCCTAAAATACAAAAAAAAAGAAAAAAAGAAAATGTGGTCTTTACACACAACGGAGAATTACTCTGTCATAGAGAAAGGTCAACTTGGGTCACCTTTAAGAAAATGGAAAAAAAAAAAAAAGAAAATGGATGCACCTTGAGACCATATTTTTTTGTGTGTGTTTTGTTTGAGACCATATTGTTAAATGAAATAAATCAGACACACAAGCTTAAATATCACATGGTTTCTCTTACATAAGAAACCCAAATTATAAGTAAACAGCAAAACAAAAAAGTAACAGGAAGTAGGGAGACATATCTTTCTCAAATGGAAAGATTAGGAGATAAAGAAAGAGACTGAGTGTGGTGGCACATGCCAGTAATCCCAGCACTTGGGAGGCTGAAAACAAGAGGATCACTGAGTCTGATCTGTGTAGTGAGACCCTGTACTAAATACATTAAATAAATAAATATTTTTAAAAAAGAGAGAAATGGAGGAGGGCCAGTGAGATAGCTCAGCAGCAAGCACAGGGACCAGGGTTTGATCCCTGGTCCCGCATGCCATGCCAGCCCCACCCCCACTGAGCTGGTGACCTAGTCTGGATGTGGTGACACATGCCTGAAATCCCAACGCTAGGGAGGCTGAAAAAAAGAGGATCACTACAAGTCCAAGCTGCACAGTGAGACCCTGTACCTAATACATAAATGAAAAACAAAGAGAGAGAGAGACAGACAGACAGACACAGACAGAGTGAGGAGGGGGAAGGAGACGGAAAGGAGGGGATGAAAGGACATTCAGATGTGGCTTGTGCATGCACCAATTCCTCACAAGGAATGTAACATTACATATTGCAAGCACATACTAATAAAAAAAAGAAATCCCTACCAGTTGAGCTCAAACTCCCAAATACAAGGAATTTCAAATTGAATGGGAAAGCCCTCTCTGCACACAGCTATGTATAGGCACTCCAATAATTCTTTCCTTACTAAGCAAGCTCCAGCTCTAAGGTTCCTAGTCTCACCCCTCTTGTTCTTGTTCTCCTTGGCCTTATTTTTTTTGATGAAGTTGGCCATAGGGTCTCCCTCTCTTTCTTGCTCTCTCAGCATCCGGTCAAGATCTTCATCATCAATGTAGCGGGCCAAAGGCTTTTGCATCTCCTTCATTGCATCCTCCACATTTTGTTGCTGTTGCCGGCTCTGGGCAAGCCTGGGTAAAGGAAAACCATTCTGTTGGACATTTTCTCTCCTACGTGGAGATGGACCACAATGCCATATTTAAAGAACTTCCTCCTGGCAGTGGCCTACACCAAATATTAAGTAAAGGGTAAAACCCCCAGAATATTAACTACAAGTATAGAACCCCCAGAATATTAACTACAAGTATAGAACCTATCAGTCTTAAAGACTCAGCACAATGAATCTCTACTCCTAATAACAGCTTTGAAGAAACAACAGGTTTCAGACACTGCAACCTCGTTTTCACATTCAATGACACCCTTACCCTCTGCCCCACTGGGCATACAGCTCTTCTCGTTCGGAGTCCTTCTCTGCTTTTCTCCTTTGCTCTAGACGTTCCAGCTTCAAATTTCTCTTACGACCAGACTTGTCACGAAACACAGTTTCAGCAAACTGGAATTCAGCTATGAAAAGAAATCCTTTTAAGATAAACGCCTAATATACAGCATGCATCTTCTTTGCTCTCTCCCTCTTTTTCTATTACTGTCGAACCAACTTCTCTCCCACTCTTCATTTTTCCTTTCTTGAACAAATCCTGCCACTGCTTAAAAAAATAAAAGATAGTACCTGAGATTAAAATCAGAAATCATATTTTAACAAATGAAAGCAACTACTTGAGATTTGGTGCTGGATAAGAACATCTGCAGCCAGATCACAAGTAGTTCCTACCAACGTATATGTGTATACTGAGTACAGGCCTAACAACTCACGTTTTCAAGAGGGAAAGAAACAATTAAATCTCCTAAAAGGTTACAAAGATGCATAAAAATCAGAGCTCAGTTCTGATAACCATCAAAAATTTTAATTATCAGGTACATTATTGTATCAGCTACATTAAAAAGAAATAAAGCTATGCGAGCCTAGACTCCATCTCACACTTTCACTTTTACCTTCAAAAGCCATGTTCTCTTGGTCCCGCTTTTTGAGCTCATGCTGTTCTTGCTGTATGTCAGTTAACACCAACCCAGTTTTAGCCCCAGAATACATGTGCGCAGTCTGTAAAACAGAAAAGGAGCACCCAAAATCAATGAAGCAACAGGTGCCACGGGTCTATATGGCTAATTGCATTTCTGTCTGCAACAACCATATCACAAACACTAGCTTTTATTCTATAAGGGCCACGGGATTCACAACATAAAAAAAAAAAAAAAAAGAAAAAAAAACTAATTTCATAGAAAGTATAACAGTACTATCCACTTTAGAAGTAAACAGAAGCATATACCAACAATTCATTAGAGGGAGAGCTAAATACATGTACTTCTGACTTTTTTTTTTTGGCAAAACCAGGGATTGAACTCAGGCCCTTGGGTTTACCACCAGGGAAGCGCTTATTCCACTGAGCCATCTCACCGGCCCTGACTTTTAATATATAAACTGCACACGTGAAGACTCACCCTCTCAGATCACCCAATCAGAAACCCGTATCTAAGGGCTGGGGATATAGCTCAGTGGCATAAGTACCTGCCTGGCAAGTGCAACGTCCTGATTTAGATCCCTGGTACCCCCCCCCAAAAAAAAAAATCAACAGAAACCCATATCTAGCTCTGGCTCATATGCTAGAGACTCAGTAGACAGAATATTCTATTTGAAATTCAAATTTAAACAAACCTCAGACCCTCAAATTGAGGATACATAAAAAAGATAATAACGAGATATAACCATGTGAATGCTTTCTACAAATCCCCACTTTCATATCAAGACAGCAAACAAATCACAAACCACAAGTGGAATACATATTAAACTGCCCAAGAACTACATGGGTACACATACTGTCAAGGGGTCCACTTAAAATAAGGATCTTACTCTTTAAAGAGGGTAAGGGACAGGCTCGTCTAGTTTATGACGAACAATCTTCTCAAACCCTTCTGCAGAAAAGACTCACCTGAGAGGTCTGCTTTGGAGAGAAACATGAACAATCCAGGCTCTAGCATTTCATCCAACTCAAGAGTAAGATTCCTTTATTACTGCTAGTGTTCTCTGTGATGTAACTACTCAGAGTTCATGTATGTTTCTCTTTCGCTAATTCATCAAGCTTTATCACAGATTTAAAACACAACAAAATACTAACGTCCCAGACAATATAATTTGCAAAAGTAATTTTGTATTTTAAGTTCCTCTCTTTAAACCCAGTAGTTCAATTTATAATAAACTTACAATAATAAATCATTAACTCCAAATGCCTACTTTGTCGCAAACATTTTGCTGAGTTTTAATTACACTGATCCATACTATATTCTCACAAAAATCTTATAAAAATAGAAACTAGATTTTTTCACATTTTCCAGATGTACAAACTGAGCCTTAGAGATATCAAGTGTCCTGCCTAAATCTTAGACAGCAGCAGAAGCAGAACTCAAGTCTGCGTTCAGTATGACACAGGTCTGTGTTCCTAACCCTACTCTGCAAAGGACAGTCCTCAGTTTGTTCTTTATAAAACAAGTTTTCTTCCAGTGATAATATATATGCATGTGGATAGCAGCAGAATTCATACGAGCTAAATCCTGGAAGCAGTCTACGCCTATCATCAGATGAAGGGGGAAATGTGGTATCTATAAACAGTGGGGTACTACCCTGCCATAGAGCAGGATAAACTTGAGCCGCCTGTAAGAAAATGGACCTACCTTAAGACCACAATGTGAAGTGAAACAAATCAGGTACAAGGCTAAATAGTACATGGCTTTTCTTATATGAGAAACCAAACTACACAGAGAAAAATACAAGATGGTGATAGGAAACAGGGAGGCAGAACTTTTCAAATGGGAAGGAGATCAAGAGGTAGAGGAAAAGGAAGGAAAGCAGGAGAAAAGGAATTCAGATGTGCTTCCTCCAACTCCCCAAAGGAATGCGATCATTTTGTAATGCAAATATATACTAACAGAAAAACAAAAGCGGAAAACAAAAGACAGAAACTTTTCCAGATCTATTGAAATGTAATTAACGCAACTACGAGGCTGTAAGGCAGAACTCCTTGGGAAACCTGGTACAGGATGAGCATCTGTACCCAAAAGTCTGAATTCCAAAATCTAAAACTTTTTGGGTATCATGTAAGTGCTCAAAAAGTTTCAGATAATCAGACACACAAGCTTAAATATGCTTTCTCTTACAGGACAAGCCCCAAGTAAAACAAAAAAAAGCACAGTGAAAGATACTAGGAAATAGGGAGATGGATCTTTTTTGCAAAAGGAAAGAAGATCAAGGTAGAGGTACAGGGGATGAGAGAAGGGGAAGGGGAAGAAAAAGAAAATGAAGATATATTCTGCAGGGCCAGGGAGATAACTTGGCAGTCTAAGCACCTCTCTGGAAAGCACAAGGACCAGGGATCAATCCCCAGTACAAGTGGCATGCCATGCCAATCCCATGGCGCACATCTGTAATCCCAGCACCGGGGAGGCTGACAAAGGAGGATCACTATGAGTCCGAACTATGTAGCAAGACCCTGTACCAAATAAACATTTTTTCAAAAAACTAAAAACGGCTTGCCAGACAGTTCAACGGACTAAAGCGCCTGCTTAGGCAGAGTGCAGCAGCCAGAGTTCAATCCCGCACATGCTGTGCCAGCCCCACCCCTGGGGCGCGCTGAGACATTGATTAAGACTGGGCATGGTGGCGTGCACCTGTAATCCCAGCACTTGGGAGTCTGAAAACAGAAGAATCACTATGAGTCAGGTCTACACAGACCCTGAGACCCTGTACACCTGCAGACCCTGTACCACATACATAAAAAAAAAAAATTTTAAAAACACATTCTGTACACGTTCCAACTCCCCACAATGAATGTAATCAATTTCAGATTTCAGTACGCACATACTCCAAAATACTCCCAAATCTAGAAACAAGTTTGGTCCCAAGCATTTTAGATAAACGACATACAACCTGCATTTAGAAGTGCATTGACAGAGCTACTTCTTGCTCCTCTTGGTTCTCAGGGATTTATATAAAGCTAAAAGGTAGGAGTACTTCTAAGAGAAGGAGATGGCTCCTGGATATCTCTACCTTCTTTCCAGGAGGTTGACTCCTTCGAGGTGGAGACAAATCAGAATCCGAAGATTTGGTCCTCTGTCTCCTCCTCGGTGGAGAGAGGTCAGAATCAGAGCTCTGCTGTCTTGGTCTGTTCCTTGGAGGCGACAGATCTGAGTCAGAAGCCTGGTGCCCTGGACTCTGTTTGTGCCGTGGAGGTGACAGATCTGAATCAGAGGCTTTCTGGCAGTCACCTGGGGAAAAAGAAGAGTCTGTCATGTGGCACTGATGGCTCCTAGGTGAAAGGCCTGTAACAAATATCCTACGGCAGGGAGAAGAACCTAGAAATTAAAGAATAAATGAGGGCCGGGGAAGTGGCTCAGTCAATGGTATAGTGCTTGCCTAACAAGTGTGAGGCCTTGATTCAATCTCCAGCATAGTAAAAAAGTTAACTAATCCCTTTAGGACTTTACAGATAAGGTAGCATGTTCAATCCTCCTGTGAAGAACAACCACTAACCTAAACATAAGTATGGATGACAAATGAGAACAATAAGGTCAGATCCAACTTTCACACTATATGCAGGGCATACAGGTTCCATTCCCAAATGACTAATCACTACATGAGATGCCCACACACTACTCCATGTATAGTTACTTCCTCCCCTCCAGGCCAACAGAATGGGCAAAACAACTTAGGCCCCTGATCTGTGGCACAAGTCAGAAACATCTGGGATACTGTATATTCTTGTCCTCAGACAAGGTAACAGTATTTTGATTTAGAATTAAGACTGCCTAGGAACAAAAGATGAAGTAAAAGGCCTGTATTCTAGATCAAAGCATCAACAAACTGCCTCTCAAAAACTAGTATGCAGAGCCACAAGTGGTGGTGTAAGCCTAGAATCCCAGCAGGTGGGAGGCTGAGGCAGGAGGATTGTCACAAGTTCAAGACCAGCCTGGGCTACAAAGTAAACTCAAGGCCAGCCTGAACTACATAGCAAGACCCAGTCTCAAATAAAGATATGCATACATATATGAATACATACTAGCATGCAATATGCATTAATGGTCTCAAAAACATTTGTACCTTCTTTTTTTTTTTAAACATTTATTTATTTTAGTTTGTGTGTGTGTGTGTGTGTGTGTGTGTGTGTGTGTGTCCAGCTCAGCCCACCAGGGGGCGGGGCCAGCTGGCATGTGGTGCTGGGGGATTGAACCGCGGTCCCTGTGCTTTGCTAAGCTTGCTCCAAGTAGGTGCTTTAGACCACTGAGCCATCTCACCAGCCCCCATTTGTACCTTCTGAGCTAATCAACTTCTTAGCTTTCTAGGAAACCCACCTACAAGTAAAATTTCCAAGAAATAACCCAAAACAAGGGGCAACAGTTTATATCTAAGAATATTCACTAAAATAAATAAAGCTAGGGCTGGTGAGATGGCTCAGTGGTCTAAAGCACCTACTTAGAACAAGCTTAGCAAAGCACAGGGACTGTGGTTCAATTCCCCAGCTCCACATGCCAGCCAGCCCCACCCCCAGGTGGGCTGAGCTGGCCACACACACACACACACACACAAATAAATAAATAAAATTAAAAAAAAAAAAAAGAAAGAAAGAAAGCTAAAGCTCAGAAATAATCAAAAACATGTAAAAGGGAAATGACCCAGGTAACTTTTGTAATCTAACAGCATTAGAACTTACACTAAATAGAGATGGTTCTAGAATTAAAAATTATGTAGAAAGGACAGGAAAGATCACCCATATGATAACACACACGTGGCATAGTCAGGAGTCAACTGTCAAAAGCATATACCAAAAACACTTAACATTTTTTTTAATTAGTTTTTTTTTTTTTTTTTTTTTAATGTATCTCAGTACTGGGCCTTACAGGATCTCACTACACAGATCGGACTCATAGTATCCTCCTGTTTTCAGCCTCCCAACCGCTGGGATTACAGGCGCGTACCTCATGCCCAGCCTCAGTCACCCTCTCAGCGAGCACCCAGAGCAGGGCTGGCATGGCACACTGGAGACGGAACCAGGAGCCTGTGTCCACCTACACAGGCACTTTAATCTGTGGCTATCAGGCCGGCCTTTACCTAAAGAACATTTGTGATAACCCTAACAATGAATACCTCAGAGTGGAAGAATCATGTGGCACAAGTTTTCTGCTTCATTATATGTATACTTTCATATAAAGTTTTTGCAATAAACATGTATGAGGTACAATAAAAATATGAATTTTAAAACTGCATTAAAGATGCATTACCATACTCCCTCAAAATATAACCTCCCCTTCCTTCAAACCCATTTATCTGATCATTCTTGTGAAGCAGTTCTAGAAGCCCTCGTTCAGGGGCCAGGGATATATAGCTCAGTGACACAGCACCAGCATGGCAAGCAAAAGGTCCTGAGTTCAATGCCTTATACAAAAAAAATAAATAATCTAGAAGCCCTTTTTTCTTTCCTTATATATTTAGTACAGGATCTACAAGGTCTCACTACACAGATTGGACTCACAGTATCCTCCTGTTTTCAGCCTCCCAAGAGCTGGGATTACAGGCTTGAGCCACCATACCCAGTCTCAGTCATCAACTCAGCGTGCCCCCTGGATGGGGCCAGCACGGATACTGGGGATCAAGCCCCGTCCCGGTGTCTGCCTAAGCAGGCACTTTAATCCGCTGAGCTATCTGGCCGGCCCAAGGCGGCCTCTTTCTCAAGTGTCTAGTTACACTGTCATGGCTGCCTTGATGTCCTGAGCTGATTCAAAATGCTCTCATGGTCATTTTGACTCTAGGGAAGGGCCAGAGGTTGCACAGTACTGAGGAAAGGATAAGAAGAAAAGAAGAAATGGAAACAAAGCTTTCATAAATATGGAGGGGAATGGGGCTGGTGAGATGGCTCAGTGGTCTAAAGCACCTACTTAGAACAAGCTTAGCAAAGCGCAGGGACCGCGGTTCAATCCCCCAGCACCACATGCCAGCCAGCCCGCCCCCTGGTGGGCTGAGCTGGACACACACACACACACACACACACACACACAAATAAATAAAAATTAAAAAAAATATATGGAGGAGAAGAGGGCTTGAAGGGAGGGAAGCAGGACAGGGAAAAAAGACACACCATGTACAGTGTACAGGTACACATAATTTGCACTATCTATCTATCGATCTATACAAAAACCTTAAAAAGTACCAATAGTTAAAAAACAAAATAAAAAGGTTGGGGCTGGGAAGATAGCTCAGCAGAAAGTGCTAGGGCCTGAGTTCAATCCCCAGTTTTGAAAAAAAAAAAAAAAAAGTTGCTTACAGTGCCAGATCCAAAGAGTAAGATGGATGAGGACACACCATAAATGTTTTTGACAGAAACTACCGTAAACCATTTCTGTTGATTCACCACATCAAGCCGGGCAAGTTAGCATACGTTTGTAATCCCAGCACTCAGGAGGCTGAGGCATGAGGATCACTACGAGTTTGAGGTCAGCCTTGGCTATAAGTTGAGTTAAAAAAAAAGCAGAACAGCATAAAGAGACACTCATGAAAGATTTCTGGAACTGCTTCAGAAAATAACAAGTAGTATGGGATAAGAATATTCAAAATGAGGGAGAGTACTGTGAGGAGGGATTAGTGACAAGGTGTCTTTTGCTATAACAAATTTTAATCTAAATATTCACTGTACATTTCAATTTCTCCTTCTAGCATATTTTTTATGGGATGAGAAGAGTAAATACAGACATATAAAAACTTTCCTCCCTGCCATTGTAATTTTTAAATTCTCGTGCACCCAGCCTCTCACTTCAAAAAATTTTTCCAAAAAAACTCACTCTCAACCCTTTTTTTTTTCAGAACTGGGGATTGAACTCAGGCTTTTGAGCTTTCCAGGCAAGCACTTATTCTACTGAGCTATCTCCCCGGCCCCTCAACCCTTATAAAGCAAATAAAGATCCTAAAGAAAGCTGCCAGAAATCAAGTCTCTCGCTGGCATAATGGCAGTCTTAATGGGTCACCTTTAGAATCAAGCTGCTTCTTACCTACAAAATGGGATTTTGCTTGCTTTTTCCGTGCAGGAGAGAAGTCCGAGTCATATTCACTTTTGATGTTCTTCAGAAGTGGCAGATGGGTGGGTTCTGATCCTTTCCAGTGTGAAGAAGTCTTGCAGGAGGCTCTTTCTGGAGTTTTACTACTTTTGGTTCTGGGCAATGAATGAGCAACATCAGGGGCCAAGTTGGAGGAGTCATGATGGCCCCTCCTGGGATGCCGTGTGTCTGAGTCCAGAGTCCTCCTAGGTCGGGATCTGTCAGTGGAATTGTTATGGGGCCTTCTGGAGGAAGACATACCTGAGGAATCATAAGGGACTCTTCTAGGAGACACACCTGCAGAATTATGATGAGGTTTCCTAAGGGGGGATGCATCCGAGGAGTCATGGCGGACCCTTCTGGGAAAAGACTTGTCAGAGTCTTGAAGGGCCCTCCTGGGAGGGGATGC